CCTTTCTGCATCTCTTTATCTCGGTCAAGCAGAGCCAAACCTCGATAGAAGTCATTTTAAAATGAAACCTGATGGATTGATTACGGTTCTCATTGTTATAAACTGTTCTGTGCATGAAGAACTAAAGCTTGAAATTCATCCTCATTGTAGGATTTTCTTTTAGGAAACAAAGAAAAAAATAACTAACACAATTACTACTAATAATTATTATTATAATTATTATAATAAAAACCTAAAACACAGCTTCACATAAACAACAAAAACAGAGCACATGACACCTGACATTTTAAATTTATTTAAAAACATGACAAATTGCTCATTCTGTGTTCAGAAATTACTAGACCCAACAAATAATCACTTTTAACTGTCAAACCTTGCAGTGATCATCTTCTAAATTAGAAGTTCCTAAAGGTGCTGTTTTTGTATGACTACCCAGTGACAAGGATGCCTGCAGCGGCAGCACAACGTGATGACGTCATGCGCGCCTACCTGATCTGATCACGGCGGAGAGGAAGAAGTCAAAATGTCGGCGGTGTGGAAGTTTTTATTCGTTGGTGAGGATGTCGGATTTCAAAGATTTTTTGGACTACGTTGAGCCTCGCTACATCGTCCCTAGTCAGAGATATTTTACCATCGTAACCTTACCAGAGTTACAAACCGTCATTTCAGACGTCATTGAGAAGCTAATAGCTGATAGGGTGATGGGTGAGTTTTCAGCCATTTGGACGTCGTGTTAGCTCCGTTAGCATGATTAGTCTTACGGCACAATGGATACATAAACTTTGAACTTAAAAAGTCTGTCCTTCATGCACAAGAGTGCAGAGGATCCCACACTGCAGCTAGGAACCTGGAACAAGTCTCCACAAGTGAGACAGCATCGCAGCTGACTAATGCTAATAAATAACATTTAACACTTCATTTAATATAAGTTAAAGTGCTATGCATATGGCTGTTACTGAATATATGTCACCAGCTCTCACACAATGTTTGTAGCAAATAAGCCTAAATAAGAGGGCTATGTTCTGACAAAGGCAAGTACATAAAAATATCGGTATCTGTATCGGTTATCGGCCACATAAGTTTTGACATATCGGCATATCGGATATTGGCCAAAAATCCAATATTGTGCATCCCTATGCAGGATAATGTCCTGATGCTCGCTCAATAATCCAGGTAGAAAATTTTAACATTTTTGTCATGTTATGTTGTCATCAGGACATTTTGAACGTTTCGACAAAGAATCCGTTCAGATGAAAACAACGTGACCTTAGATGCAGGATGGTGTTCCTCCAGGACCAGGATTGGGAACCACTGTTAAAAAAAAACAACCTATTACTCTTTCACCTTGTTGTGGAAACTGAATTTGGTCCATTTCTCTTTACAACAGTTTCAGAGGTTTGCAGGTTGTTCATTTATACACAGCTCTGGACCTTCAGTGGGTCGTTCTAACAACTTGATACGCAATTTTATTTAAATCCATTTTGTTCTAGATGTGCCAAGGATGCAACTGTCAATCTGTAGCACAGATATTCTCACATTTGACTCAGGGCTGCTGGGATATACAGAGAACTGAAGTGTCCACTCAGTTACTGTAAAGAGTCCCGGTCCAGTGGCTGCAGACAAGTCCAAACACTCAGCCCTCCATCAGCGTGACAAACAAGTTGCTTTGCATAAAAATAAAAATCTTACCTCAGGTTTGTTTGTTATTGAGACAAAACTGCACTGTCTACTTTTTGATAAATCCTACAGTTAGGGTTGATTTGGGTTTCCTGAGGTACCCCTTAGTTCTGCTGCTATAGGACAAACTGATCACATCTCACTCTGCTGCTGTCTTTACTCTCTGTGTTCATACATGCAATTACTGATGACAACCTGTGATTTTATTTTTCTTTCTCCCCATTATAATTTATTATTATTATTATTATTTATTTTTTTATTTTCCTGGTACATCTAATTCTGAGACCTGGTGAAGATAACATGGATCCTTGTTATGTGCCGATAAGTTACACATTAAAATTTACCATAAAGTAACAGAATATGTTTTAATGTTTCATGTATGTACATTCATTCGTACCCATCTGCTCACCACTGACTCGTGTTCTGGCTACTGTTGTTATGCTGTATTGTTTTACATTATTAGTGTTTAGCGTATATCTTAGATCCTTATATACTGTTTATTGTTATAATTTATATTGTTGGGTGTAACTGGGACCTTGATACATAATTTCCTTCCAACTCATGTACCACATGTGATGCGAATGACAATAAACTTGACTTGAATGTACTGGCCTCATACTGTACAGTGGTGAAAGTCTTTTAATACTCAAAGGAAAAAAGCAGAACACAGTATATGTAAAGTAATATTCAACCAGGGGTCTGAACAACACAAACTCAGTGAGCTACAACAAAACCAACAACCTATTAGAGCACAATAGGGATCATGCCAACAAGGCCATTTTGTGTGTTTTCACAAACAGCCTCTTTATGATTGCAGAGAATGAGTCAGAGCTGAGAAGTGAATTCATATTAAATCCAAAGCAGCAGTGCCATCATGCAGCAGGAGAGACAGGAGGCGCTTTGCCTTCTTTGTGGCAGAGCTGTTTTGGGGAAGTTGTCCTCCAACATCCATCAAGCCTTGGCTCAATCAGCACTATTACTCAGAGACAGAGGACGGGTGGGACCGGTCACGTGGAGAAGTGGGCAAACATGAGTCACGCATACGTCTAATATAAACAGCACTGAAAGAGCCGCTCTCCTACTGGACCCGTGCTCTTCCAGAGACTCTCTCTCCACTTACAGCACAGCCTTTTCAGCAACAAAGGCTTCGCTCTTTTGAGCATTGTTCTCCTTATGCTTGGATTCCACTCAAGAATTTGGAAAATATTTCTCAGGTTTCTCTCCTCCCAAAAGCTCCCCCTTTATTTTTGCTGCTGATGCATGCCCATATTTTTCCAGGAGCAGAAGCTCCAGCAGCTCCTCCTCCAGCCTGACACCGAGGCATGCAGACCCTCTCAGATGATTCATGTGGCCTGGCCTCCTGAGCGAGGCTGCTGATTGGTGGTTGGCTCGCAGTGACCCAGGGAGATGGTGATGAGGTGTCGGCACACTCACACCGCTCCAGGGAAGGGCTACCGAGTCATGCAGTTCGCTCGTGCCTCTGACGCTCCGCCTGCATATCTACAGAGCCTGGAACAGTTCCGAGCTGAGCCAACACTACTGTGACACAAATGTTTTTATCCGTCGTCTTACAGGGAGGGGTGTTTGCTCCAGAGAAGGGTGTGGCTATGAATGAAAGCATCCATCCACAGGGAGAGTGTTCCCTAATCAGTTCAATGTGTACATAACCTGACAAAACACCTCATAATATGCCTGAATGGATTTTTTTTTAAATGATAACGAAAATATTCTGAAAACTATCACAGCTAGAATTAAAATGTTTTTCAAAACAATCCCCAAGGTGACCTCCTCAGAATACCCTTCAGTAGCTTTTTTTTTTTCTTTAAAGGAACCATTAAACCTAAAATATACCTCATTTCTCTAGCAATGCACATACTTCTGTAGTTCAATAGATTTAAACAAAACAGTTACAGAAATGATTTTGTCTGATTATTTTAGTAATTCAGTTTGGAATATTTGCCAGTTAGACTGCAGCTAGTGAGAAAAAAAAAAGTACAACGATTACAGAAGATGAAATCATTGTATCACTTTAATCTAATATGCAAAGAAAGAGCAGCAGCTCAAAGGAAATGTTGATACATCGAGAGGAGCAGCTCTTCATGTTGTCCACCGCCTTGCATGCTAAGGTTGTAAACAACAATATCATGTGCAGAGCTTAATTTGAGCTGGATCCTGCCGGAACAGGATGCGGGAACTCTTATTTTGACAGGGTGCGGTCTGGTAAATGTTTGCTTGGACCCGGTAACTCTCAGGCTTACTAATAATAAAGTTATGGACAAATATGACTGCCTTGAATGAATAAAACTTATATTGGATATGTAAACTGAAAATAATTATATAAACACTCATTTTAAACACAACAGCCACTTACATACAAGCTGCCCTTCAAGTAAGCATTTCCACCCTTTAAAAAATTATCAGCACATTTCTTAGTTCCTATCTTAGATCTTATTACGGTTTTTCTTTTGCAATTTATACTTTGTGTACACAAGGTCCCAGTTACATCCAACAATTTCGTTCCACCTCATGTACCACATATGATGCAAATGACAATAAAGAAACCTTGACCTTGATGTTTAACACATGTTAAAATACACCAAAATGCAGAAAATCATATTTACTTTATTCAAAATTTTCTGGGGACCCCCATACCTCCAACAACCCTCACCCCCACATAATCCGGCCCACCCACTATTTGCGTTCTGGCATCGATCAGTTTACAAATTAAGCCCTGGTTGTGCAGCCTGTTAGCACTCAGTGTGTGTGTTCAGGATGACTTGCAGTTACTACCACACTGAGTTATGGACATTTTTATGTTTGCTAAGGTTGACTAGCTGTGGCAGCCTTATTGAAATGAACTGACACAAGAAGTTGATAAATGTACATCCAGTTATTGATTTCTGGGAGCTTCATGAAAATCTGTCTCCAGATTTGTGACATTCTGCTAACAGACAAGCAAACACATACATAGGCACAAGCAGTTACATGACCGCCCTCCGTTCATAACGGTAGGCGATGATGACATTCAGCTTTAACAATAAGCCCTGAAGTTGGTTTGATTGCTTAATTTAGCATCTTTGTTTAAATAAAAGTGTTACCTTCAGAAAATGTATCTTTTTTAGTTTTATTCAATTTATTCTTGAGGAGCTTCAAGTGTGACCCAGTACTTGTCCAGTCTCTGTCTGTTGTTAACCAGCAAGCAGCGTTCTGACCCGTGGGTCTCAGTCGTCATTATTATTTACAGCAATGAATTAAACATGTTTGTCTTTTCTTCACTGTAGAGTTCATCTTCTTTATATATGTGAAGCAAACAGGAGGCTTACCCATTGTAGAATCTTGATGAACCCCAGCGGTTGTTTGATCACTGTGAACTGCCCTTGGGCCACCAGCTGTCAACACAACAAACCACAGTAAGCAGGGGTGCAAGTCTCATTTTAGTTACATTTTGGTTTATTTTTCATGTTCAGAGCTGGAGCTAACCCTGACGGGGCACTCCAAGTGATTCTGACTGAAATCCTAATTAGGCAAGTTACAGTGGTCTCTTTAAAGTAGGGTTCTGTAGACTAGTTAATATCTTACCTGCTGTAAACAGGTGTTTGAATGTCTTCAGTTTGGAGTTTGATGGGAATGATGAGCTAATGGCTAGTCCAACTGCAGCTAAGCTTAAATTTCAAAGCCGTTCATGCAAACACTGTTTTATAAACATTTGCACAGCTGTTCATTTCACAATCCTCTGTGATGTAGATAAGAGTTTTGAGTTTTGCAAATAGTTGTAATAGCTAGTTGTAACATTTATGTTGCAGCCTGGAGGTGTTTCCAGCACGAATTTCATAATCATGCCAGACGGCTACTCCCTTCTTCAGGGGTCGTCACAGCAAACTAACTCACACGAAGACTTAGCAATTGTTTTTACACCAGGTGTCCTTCCTGACGCAACCACAGACCACCGAGTAACCCCAGTCCTCTGGGGCATCTGGGGGAGCAGATGGTTGGGGTTAAGGGCCTTGCTCAAGGGCCCAGAGTGGGACAAGTGAGGGTGGAGGCAGGTGTGGTATTTCACCTTTTCCACCCACATTTTGACGTCGTTGGTCCGGGGGAGTTGAACCGGTGACCATAATATCTGCAGACCCACCTTCTGTAAACTCTGCACCACCACTCCCACCTCCTGCCAGACTAATCGTCTATCCATCCGTTATTTTTACCCACTTCTTCCTGTTTGTGTTGCGGGAGTCACTGGTGCCCATGTCCAGCTTTATCACTGTGTGAGAGGTGGGGGACACCCTGGACAGGTCTCCAGTCCATCCCAGAGATACATAGAGACAAACAACCGTTCACTCTCTCACTCACATCTAGGAACAATTTAGAGTTACCAATCAGCCTAACATGCATGTTTTGGGTCTGTGGGAGGAAACTGGAGTACCGGAGCACTTCTTTATGGATGCCAGAGGGCATGTCCAAATTCAGAGTAAGCAAATCAATTCAAACCGATTGTGTTGATGCTTCATGATTAAATTAAATTAAATTCAAACACTTGTAATTTGAGTGAGTAAAGCTGGTAATGTCTAATGTCCATATTCAGATAAGACAACATGCAGGGCGGTGCGCGTTTCACTTCATATATTTGGTATTGAAACATTTTTACAATGTTTGAAGATCCCACATGTGAACTTCACCTAATCATGTTCCCACACCTTTGCACCACCATCAGTTCCACATTAGACGCGTGTTCTAGCAGAAATTCCACTTTGGAAGTGTCTCATGCTGCACTAAGAGTGCTACAGCTAGCTGCAAGTGCAATAAACAAACGCATTTTATTTAAAAACTGTGAAATGCAAAACGAAAGGAGGTGTAAAACCCTGTGATGAACTACAAGATTTTAGAGTTTGAAGCTACTTTAATGTCGTTTTAATCCACTTTGGCTTTTGTTCGAACTAGCCATTATGGAAGGATTGCTCCAAACTGAGGATGGAACAGATAAATGTCTGAACTATCCCTTTAAGCCCCCCGCGCATGCAGGCCTGCTGGCAGCTGCAGCGTTTCACCGAGCTGTGAGAGCCATGATCAGCCTGAGGACCGGTGCACGAGGTGAACATTCCCTGTCGCCTTCACGCGCTGCGCTGCCAGCACCACCAATCAGACAAAGCTGATTATCTGTCTGCCCCCCTGCTCTGGCAGCCATTTTATTCCATTTAGAAATCCTGCGGAGCGCGCAGGAGGAGGCGTTTGTGCGCAAGTGAATGCGGCACCGCAGTCAGGAGGTGTGCGGCTGCGCGCGTCACCAAATGTCCGCACAGATGCGCCACAGTCTCCTCCGTTTGGGCATGGGTGCACATTAATCAGCAGGTGACGCACGAACTAAAGCCCTCTACGGTCCCCTGTCCTCCAGACATGTCCACCTGGAAAAGGCGGGGAGGACTGCGGGCCTCCTGCCTGCCGGGGGACCAACCCCCATCCTCCGGGTGTTTCTCAGCCACAGCGGGTTAATTGACACGGGACCAGTCGGAATCAATTAAGGCGAGTCTGTGGGGACAAGGGAGCGGGTCTCCTCCTTCCTGAGCTGAATGTCCCTGCAGCAGCAGGCCGCTCCGTCTCCTCTGCACCACAGGGACAACGACCATATTTACATTAATATGGCTCAGTTTTACCTCCACAAAGCTGCCTGCTTCCCTTTAGATGTCCAAATCAGTATTTCTATTCTAAAATGCTCGAAGGCGCTGCGTCTGAGCTCGGAGCATCCCTGGGTTTTAAATATGTAATTACCACTAAAGCGCTCGATAAATCACAACAAAACGCCTCGTGAGCATCGGATCAGCAGTTATCAAAGATGAAAAGGAGGATTTCCTCCCCGAAGCCTTACCTGGTTTACAACATCCATCTTGGCCGCTCACTCGCTGATAAGAGGATCAGAAGCGCGGAGGGAGGGCGTCGTCTCATCCGTAACAGCCCCGAAGCTGGAGGGAGGGAGCCATATGGAGGGAAGAGCAGAGGCTGCGTCACGAGCTGGACGTAGGAGAGAGGCGTCTTGACGTCAGAGCCATCGCTGGCACAGAAAGGAGCCGAGGCGGCGGACCAATCAGAGCGCTGCTTTATTCTGATGGAGCACAGACTGCCTGGGGGAGGGGGGATAAAGATAGGAGCGCGTGGAGACAGTTCACGCAAACGTGGACAGAGAGGGAGACGTGAAGAAACAGCTGCGCGTTTGTCAGGAGACAAATATTTTAGCAAATCCTTCTGCAAGTTTATAGAAAAAGAAATTAATAAGAGAAAGAAAATATTCATGCAGCCATGTTTCTGAATACTTCGTGACAATATCAAGGTCCATGCTCAATAATCCAGGTGAATCCAATAAAGTTAAAGTCAGGCCCTTTGGACGGTTTCTTTTTGTTGAACCATTTCAACAAAAAGAAAAAACGTGAGCTGATTGGTATGAATACAGCAGCTTAAAAGGCAAGAGATCAGCAGCATGGATAATGAGCAGATCAGCTAAAGTATCAAATCTCTAATTAAGTGGTATTACAGTGATTTTTCTGAGTCTAACATCTTCAGGGTAGAAGCTGTTCCTCAGTCTAGTGGTTCTACACTTAATGCTCCTCAACCTCCTTCCTGAGGGGAGCAGGGCAAAAAGTCTGTGTGCTGGGTGAGTGTGGTCCTTCGTGATGCAGGTGGCCCTCTACCTCCATGTAGAGGTGTAAACGTCTGTGATGGTGGGGAGGATGACTCCAACATCTTCTGTGCAGCCTTCACCACTCTCTGCAAAGCTTTTTTCTGCAGCCTCCATGCCACACGTTGATGCTGGAGCACAGGATGCTCTCCACTGCACACCCTAAGAAGGAGGTGAGGACTGAGCTTCCCAGTCCAGCTGTCCTCCTCAGCCATTGTAAAGTCTCTGATGTGCTTCCCTGATCAGACTGGTTGTTATTGCCCAACATTTTCTCTCTGAAAATGCCCCGAGCAGAGGACGACCTGCTTCAGGACCAGCCCTGTTTTCTTCACACAGCACTCAGACAGATCAAGACTTGAAGAAGTGTTGCATTTCTTGCTGCTACTACAACCTACATTATACATTTACTGCTAGAAGTCCTGCCTTTATGCTGAGCATCACTGACGCCCCCCTATGTGCACTCTCTCACTCTGTGCACTCCTTAAAGGAACCACACCCTTCATATAAGAGTAGTAAACAAACTTCATTACATCTTACCGAAGCATTTGAGTGAAATGGGCTCAGGATTGACTCGGACCAGTTTCATACTGGAGTCCAGACTTTGAGAATTATTCATTTATGACAAAATAAATGAATAAAGTTTGTAAAACAGAAGATTTGTTCAGCAACATTTACACAGAAAGTAACATTCTCTGTATATCTTTGCTCCATCAGTAAAATGGATGTGCCAAAGTAAACGGTGTCACTACAAATGTTACTTCTGAACAGAATAAAATTTCAGCGAGAAACGACAACATAAAGGGTGACTTAAATAAAAAAAAGAAATTAAAAAGCGAGAATAACTAAAAAAGGTAATTTCTGCCACAATGTTTTTATTTTTATGGAAAGTGTTGAGTGGTCTAAAACCAGTTTGTCATCATGAGAGAGTTACAGTAAAATTACTGAAGAGCCTTTGAGTCTTCAATAATAATTAATATTAAAAACAGTTTACAATATAATAACGTTTCATCTGATTTATGTAACTGATTGGACGAGAATGGTTCCGTAAATACGACGTTTATTTTGTTGGCTTGTCATGAACTCATCTTTACACCGGTCCTGTTTAACCTCAGCGCTCTTCACATTTTACACAAACTGGATCACTTCACAGAAACCACAACAGCCTGGTTTGATTTGTCCTGCTTTAATACTGTTAACGCTGTCATTATGACATGAGATACATACAAGAGCAGAACAGCAAGCACGAGGTTGTTTAACAGGTTGTTTAACAGTGAATTTGCTGTTGGAAGGTGTGCGAGTATGTTGCACCTACGTTTCTGTCATTATGTCAACATGGAAAGAAAAGGCCACTAATAAATATGCAGCTGATAGAATGAACAAAACTACCTCAAGTCCACATACTGAATCACCCTGATTGTCATGATCTGAGCGTGAGGTTGAACCCAGAACTCAGGAACTCGTAGATTAGAAAAAGATATTTATTCTTCACAACAAAAAGAGCTGACGTAGCAGCAAAACTTACATGTGAGGAGGTGATCACAGGAGGAGTGGGAGCAGAACATGACACGAACGAGAACAATCCACGGACAATGAGAAGAGGACAAGACACAGAATATATAGAAACACCTGTGATTGACGATGAGGAACACCTGGGGTGATTAGGATAGAGTTCAGGTGTGTAGGAGCCAGAAAGACACAGGGGTGACAAGCAACACACACCAGTCCTCACACTGATGACTTTTCTACATCTGTTCCTCTAATTTAATCATCTCATTCACACCTAGGGACAATTTAGAGTTACCAATCAGCCTAACATGCATGTTTTTGGTCTGTGGGAGGAAACCGGAGCACCCGGAGAAAACCCACGCATGCACGGAGAGAACATGCAAACTCCACCCAGAAAGTCCCCATTACCGGGGTTTGAACCAAGGACCTGCTCGCTGAGAGGCAGCAGCTCTACCAGTTGCGCCACCGTGCTGCCCGGCACATTATACGATGTAGACAAAAAAAACTAACAAAAAAGGTCTGTAAGCGCAATCATCCAGGGAGATAACAACAAAACATGTTAAATTGTGTCATCTGGACCAGTTTCTTTTGAGAAACGTTTCATCCACAGGAGTTTTTTTTTTTTTCATTTAGCCTTTATTTATACAGGTTAGTCTCATTGAGCCACGAGAACTCATTTTCAAGAGAGACCTGTTTAGGGAGCAGATGGTGGGGGTTAAGGGCCTTGCTCATGGGCCCAGAGTGGGGCGAATGAGAGTGGGGGCAAGTGTGGGTGTTTCACCTACCCCACTCACAATTTTGATGTTGTCGGGGCCGGGGCGTGAACAGGCGATCTTCGGATCACAGGCCCACTTCTCTAAACTCTGCGCCACCACTCCCCAACCCCCAGGTTGGCTTGAAACACAACAATGAAGGCTACGGGACAGATCTGTTGACAGGCTGTAGACTGAGGAAGTCCTCTGGATGGGGGACAAAATGTTTGTCACTTCAAGAAACTGGCCCAGATAACACGATATAACCTTTTTTGTTGTTATCTACCTGGATGATTGAGCTTACAAACCTTCTGAACCACTTTGACCTTGGTTGTCCTCAGGCCATTTCTGTGAGTATAGTTGGACATCTGGCCTAAAACATTTGATTGTTGTTCATGATGAATGTTTTGTTAGTGTGTTCTGCAGTGCTAAAAGTCTACTTCTGAGATTCCAACAGGTTGACTTGAAACACAGCAGTGGAAGATACCTATGAGACAGATCTGGTTGGCAGGCCTCAGACTGAGGAAGTCCTCTGGATGGGGGACGAAACGTTTTTCACTTAAAGAAACTGGTCCAGATGACAAGATGTAATCTCTTTTGTTTTAAAACTGCAAAATCATTCCATAAACACAACAATGGAGGGTTTTTTTTAAACGAGTGAGAAAACCCAGTCCTATTTGGAGCCCTGCAGCTCAGATACACTTCACAGTATCTGCACAAGATTTAATGTGTTGGACTTGACACGAGCTGACACTTTTACAAAATCTCACTTTAAGCTTTATGAATTTTGGAGATTTTAATACAGAATATTCAGCTTTGTGACAACTAACTTTGGAGCTGAACTTTCCAAAATCTGTGCAAACTTCACATTTCCACAAACAACACTTTCTGTATAGTTTCTCCCCCAAAGTGTCTGCAATTTTTGCCTTAAGGGTGCGGAGTGCGCACACACCCAGTTTCTTCAGTCTGATTATTTTTTAAACTTGAAGTTGAGAGTCTTTCAATATGTCCCCTACATATCTGTAGAAAAATTAAAATATACAAGTACCAGAAGTTTCTGCCCAACACAAGAGAAGGTTTTTTTAGACAGCTTAGTTTTTGCACAGTGAGATTGTTTTAGGTTAAATTTCTAGTTTGTGTTTCTGTCTGCCCGATGAATGAAACATCTCTCTTTCCTCTCCAGATAACGGTGGAAATCACTTAAATTAGGACCCAGATAAAACCTCAAGCTGTAAAACTGCATCTCGCAGAACAAAGTCACTCAATTTGCTTGAACTTGTACAGAAATGACCCTTTTCTACCTCGCAGCCAGGAATTTCACCAAAATAAGAGCTGACGGGCGGACACAGCTGGTTGTTTGAGGGTTTTTCTTAAAGAGGGAAGTGAAACCCAGATGTTGTCCATCTGCTGCTTCATTAATTACTCCTTATATAATTCTGTTTCGTTGTGGTTTTAACATCTGTTAAAACAACAATTAAAGTCACTGCACCTATGAAATAAAAGGTACATGTGAGAAAACACAATGTATTTGTGCAGCCACACACCTGAACTGCAACACTGATCAAAACAAATAGTTTGATCCTCTTTACAACAAACTTGCAGTTTGCATTGTTGAGTTCTCAGAAAAATTGAATTGTTTGAAATTCTTTTCATTCTTTGTGTTAAAGACGATATATTTTCTGCTGCATGTGACAGTTGAACTCATCGTAACTGTACACACAAAGGTGAACAATTCACACACAATAAAAAAAAAGTCAGTGGAAAAATGTCTCTTTATTACAACAACACTGAGCCACAGTTTGATTTTATACTCGACTGTAAAAGAAAAGGTCAGACCCTCCAGAGAGAATCTTGACACACACACACGCGCGCGCACACACACACACACACACACACACACACACACACACACACAGTGTTAGAGTTCAGGACCTTCTTTGTTCTTGCTGGTCTCAGTAAGAAATCACACAGTTCATTTCGTCGGCCAGTTCGTCCTCAAACCGGGAAAGCGAGCGACTGGCTCCTCGTGCGATCAGGTCCGTAGCAGCGCTTTCCATCTCATCCAGACTCATGTGGCACGCCTCGGCGATCTCCCGCTTGGCAAAGTTCACAAACTTTGGGTCCCGGGCGTAGACGCCGAGCCCTTCAGAGATCAGGATCTGTTTCCAGAAAAGAAAGCAGAACATTTAAAACAGGGTTCTATCCATCCATCTTTTACCTGCTTCTTCCATTTTGGGTCACGGGGGTCGCCGGTGCCCATGTCCAGCAATCACAGTGCGAGAGGCGGGGTACACCCTGGACGGGTCCAAGTCCAACAGGGTTCTAATGGTTCTCCATTATTTATTTATTTTTTTTATCGGACCCCTCTGCAGAAACAGCGAGTCACACTGAGAGGGACTCAAACAGGCTGCCTGCGGTCCTGAAGCACGGTCAGTTTTTGGCACAGTCTTGCAGCAACGTGAGCTTTTAGAAACAAAGCGAGCATCGAGGTGTGGAGCAGAACTCACCTCAGCTGGGTTGACTTGGTGCACAAATTATTAAATGTGTGATGGACATTGTTGGATAAATAAAAATCCTATTATTATCTACTTATTCAAATAAGCCACTCTGAGGACACAAGAACATTTTTAACCGCTCTTTTTCTTGCAAGGACAGATGAAAACAGGCTTCCACACATGTAACCTGCTTAGAGCCTCATCAGTGAGAGCCCGCACCAGACAGTGAAGCAGGAAGTGTTTTTATAAAGCTCATCAGCATGGTGACTCGTCAGGAGCCTTACAGCGGCGCCGGACTCATTTTTGAGGTGGGGGGGCCGTGGGGGTCTTTCGTCACGTAGCACTCTCTGTTCATACACACCTTGAATGTCAGGCGCACATGTTCAGTTTTGCCACACAGTAATTAATGTAAATGGGTACTTTCACAGTCATCAGATTTGGAAAGGTTTGCAACAAAAGTCTTTCTTTTGAAAATGAAAACAAAAAAAGTAACAAACTGCAGTCATGAAGAAATGTTCTTTTTTCACAGAGTGGTGTAGATAGATATTTATCTGTTTATGTCGTTTATCGTTTGTGGAGAACTTATGACAAAAGAGCTGATTTTTACACTTTTTTCTTTACACTAACTACTGTGGTCTTAAAAAAAAGAAAAAAGAAAAAGGCAGAAGTTGGACGAGCAAAAATGACAAACTATCCGCACAATTATTTGTACTCTGACAGTAAAAGTTATTTGCTCTGGGACAAATATAGGTGAGCATTTGGCCTGGACCCGTAAACGGACTTGGGCCCAGGGTCTCTTGTTTTCCAATGGCCCATAACCAACGTGGATCTAGGTCAGAGTCAGAGGTGGTCCACAGGTGCTATAAATACTGCATCTGGGCCAGATGTGGCACAAATATGTAATTATTATTTCATTTTTAGGCTGATTTGGTCCAGACCCGGAGCTGGCACATGTGTGTAAACCCTCTGGTGACGGTTATGCAGATCTGGCGACTTGTAAACGGATTTGGCCCAGATCTGAATGCTGTAGGTTTTGCCTCTGTTTGTATGTAGACACACACACACACACACACACACAGACGTCAGTCACAGCTTGTCAGTGTTGGGTGTAGCCTGTGTAAATGTCGGGGACAAGCTGACGGGCAGGGCCGTAAAGTGGGAGGGCCAACGGCCCCCTGGTCCCCCCTTTTCTGGCACCACTGGTGCCTGCAGGTATTTCTCTGAGAGAGAACAACTCTCTGACCTCACACACATGGTAACATTACTTCAACTTGACAGTAATAAACATCCATAAACCTTTACCTACATTCCCCTGACAGACATCTATCTCTCTTGTCTCTTTTTTTAAAACATGGATTAACTCATTTTGACGATCCACCAATAAAACCTCTCTCTGTTTTCCAAACTTACCTTTGGTTAAAGAGAAAAGTAACAAAAACAGGAATAGATGGATGTGTTGTTTCTTGTTTTGTGCATTCCTAAACTAGGTCTGGGCTGCAGTGAGGGATTACAGCACTATGTTAAAAGGGCTTGCCATATACAGACACCTTCTACTTGTTCTGGTCTGGGTACAAAACTAAACATGGAGCATTGTTGGGCTCCACCAGCACAGCCTCAGGACCCCCCAGGGAGTGCATCCTACAATTTGAGAACTATTGCTGGAACCAAATGTACAAATAACAACAAACAGGACTGCCTGTGCATTAGTTCAGGATTTTAGCCACTGAATAACTTTGGATAGCACTGATTCTGTTGTTTTTACACACGTCACTGCAGGGGTGCTTATATTCCCTTCACAACGCTTAAATCTTTATGAAAAACATTAAAGTGCCCAAATAATCATTAAATTAGTTTTTGATGGCTAAAATCAATATCTCTCTTGATTAAAAAAAAAAATAATAATCCATTGAGAGTAAAACAAACCAGCAAAAAAAACAAAAAACAAAACAAAAAAACACAATCCAAAGTTTTTTTTGAAGAATAAAATTTAAAATTAATTTGTAGTGGTACATCTCCTTGCTGATAACTCACCGACTCTACTAGATTGTCAGCGCTGCCTTTGTCCATAAAGCTCTGTTTGCCAGAGGGCGGCATCCTCACACTGGTGAAGGTTCTGGTCTGACCAGGGTACCAGTCTGGACGTTGTCCCATTGGAAGGCTGGCAGAGCCGTCACACCACAGAGGCTGACTGGTGCCGGACTCTTGATCCACCAGGATCATGGGGGTGTAGATGAGCTTGCCCCTGCGGCCTGTGGGAGCGCCTATTTTTGGAAGAGGAGTGGCGCCGGCTGTTGCCGTGTTGGCCCAGGAGGCGGACGACATGGAGGACACGCTGCTGGGCCGGGAGTCCAGGCTGTGTTGGACCTGCCAGAGCAGAGAATATGATGGAGATTAGTAAAACAGGATGAGAAGGGTTAAAGCTGTAGGTATGTTTCCTTTACCTGCAGACGGGATCTGGATGGAGACGTGTTCCCATGATAAGTTCCCGGGACCGGCAGGTCGTCCGCACTGCTCTGAGGCCTCAGACACTGGAAGCTAAAGGCAGGTTTACGACCTGGAACAACAAGAACACTGATGTTAATCTGGACACGTCTAGCTTTGAGGATGTTTAAAGGTTACATTACAGAGACAGTTCCAACTTAAAGGGAACAACAAAAAAGGTTGAATCATGTCATCTGGACTTCGTTTTTTTT